CATAAATAACATATAGTTCTCATTATCTCAGTTAAAATGTATATGTAATTATGGTAACAGGTAATAACATTATGGGATTCTTGGATTATTATCAAACTCGGTTAAAACTTATTTACCAATTAAGAATATATACCAGGCAATGAAGTACTTAGAAAATTCATCTTTAACAGGAGAAAAAGATTCATTAAGAAGTACTTTTCACACATTATTGACTAAAATAATGAACTGGGGCTCATTTATGGTAGAAAGTACTAAAATTTTTTATTCTCTAGAAAACTGTCACCATGCACTTAGCCCAAGGCAATAACTCTCTTACCTCAGCTACAGAAAGCACACAGAACACAGATGGACGACGGGGATCAATGCCTTCTAATCTCATTCCAATCTGAAAACCATTTTCATGCTCCGGAAAAGACTGATCCTATGAAATTTCATAATACACTATCAGCTCTTGAGATTTCTGCACAATTTTATATAAAACATTTTATGTCACCGATATGTGGAATCTAAGTTAAGAGAATTCATAGAAGCAGAGCAGGAAAGTACCACAGGCTGGGAGTCAAAAGGTTCAAAGTTGGAGTTAGTTGGAATACATGGCAAGTATTTAAAGTGATGAATAAGTTCTACACTGTGGAATAAATATATCATATCAGCACTGTGTGACCCATAAATATACATGTCTATAATTTGTCAAAATGTGAAGTAACATAGAAACTTAATTTAAAATATTAATGTGGAAAATAAAAGGTGAATTTTTTTTAAAAATAATTTTTATTATTTTTTATTTTATTTGTATGAGTGTATTGCCTACATGTGTGTAAGTGCACCACTGTTGTGCAATGTCCAAGGTGGTCACAAGAGGGTGTCAGATTCCCTGGAACTGGAGTTACAGATGGTTGTTAGCCACCATTTGGGTGCTGGGACTCAAACCTGGGTCCTCTGCAAGAGCAGCATTCTTAACCACTGAGCCATCTCTCCAGCCCTGAAAGGTGAACTATTTATTTATTTATTTATTTATTTATTTGTGTTTTTTGTTTTGTTTTGTTTTTAAATACATTTTTACTAATTCTTTGAATATGTCATACATGTATAACAATGCATTTTGATCATATTCATCCCCCATCTCTCACCCTGTCTCCTCCTGGATTCATACTTATTGCCTCCTAAATTAATGACTTTTTTTTTTTTTTTTTAAATAACCCACTGGGTAGAATTTGTGCTGACAATAAATTCATGGGTATGGAGCCATCCAGTGGTACATGGTTGACCTAACAGGGGCAACATCCCTTAAAGAAAACCGAGTCTCCCTTTCCCAGAATGTATCAACTGTCAGTAGTTCCTCAATTAGGGAGTGGGAGCTCCTGATCCCCTCCTCCACTCCATGCTGGAATGTTGACTGGCCTGATCTTTTTATGAGTCTTCTGTAAGCAACTATAGCTGCTGTGAGCTCATGAGTGCAATGGTCTTATCACGTCCATAAGACACTGCTTTGTTCGGGTCATCCTTGTCCTCTAGCTTTTATGATCTTTCCACTCCCTCTCCCATCATGGTCCCTGAGACTTTGGGGAAGGGGATATATCGATGTCCCATTTGTGGTTTTTAAAAAATATTTTATTGAGTTTTTGTGCATTTCATATAATAGATCTTAATCAAATTTACACCCCCTCCCCCATAACTCCCCCCACCACTGGATTTCATGCATTCTGTCATACATGTTAAGTTCTATCCAATAAAGCATTTGTACCCAGAAGTCCCTAGGTGCCAGGTCATCCATTAGCATCTAGTCAGCCTATCTAGAATCACACCCTTAAAGAAGATCTATTCTCTCACACCCAGCAGTAATCAGTTGCCAGTATTTCTTTGGCTAGGGTTGGAGTCTGCTACCCATTTCCCAGTTCTATGCTGACTTTTTGTTTGATTGAGTCAGCATGGGTCTTGTGCACACTGTCATCATTGTTGCAAGCTCATATGAGCAAGTTCCTAGTAGTCTGAAAGCCTGTGTTTCCTTGTGTTCATGCACCAACCCTGGCTCTTACAATCTTTCCATGCCCTCTTCCACGATGCTCCCTGAGCCATAGGTGGGTGAGAGTTAATATAGGAGTCCTATCCAGGGACATGCACTCTGTAGCCTCTTGTTCTCTAAAACTTAGCCAGTTGTGGCATTCAGTGTGCATCGCACTTTGTTATGTGAGGAGCTTCACTGGTAAGAGTTGAGGGATATATTAGTATTCTCTCTTCTCCCTGTTCTGCTATGTTCCATGAGCCTTGGGTGTAGAAGCTCCACTGTAGATGTGTCACTTAGGGCTGGGCATCTCTCAGACATATATTATCTGTCTATGACCAGTTGGAACTCTGTAATAGCCTCCATTTGCGGCTAAGCATTCCACTCTGCACTTTGATCCATTGTTGTGTTTCTGTGTTAACCACTGTACAAAGAAACTTCCTTGATGTGATCTGATAGCTGCACTAATCTACACATACATAGATAGGAATTTAGAGGGAAGTTTGATATTATGTCCATTTAGCCTAATTATAGTAGTAGATTTGGAAGCTAAACTTTTTAAAGATTTATTTTAAGTATATGAGCATTTGTCTGCATATATGTATGTGTAGCACATGCATGTCTAATGCCTGCATAGGTCAGAAGAGGGTGTCAGATTCCCTCAAACTTCAGTTACAAATGGATGTGGGCCACCATGTTGGTGTTGGGAACTGAATCTGGTTTCTCTGAAAGAGCAGCAAGCGTTCTTAAACTGTACCATTTCTTCAGTCCTAGAAGCTGAAATTTAAAAATATACTTTCAAACAGTTTATCCTTGACTCTTTATGTTTTATGAACTCACTCATTCTCTTTGCCCATTCCATCTCTCAGTACTCTGGACAACACTACTTTGATGATTATACACATGCTCTATCCTCAATCTGTGACTGGACTCTTCATTTTGTTTACAGTGACTATGATATAAGGAGATACGTTTTTATTTTTCCTAACAAATTCCTGCTGTGTGACCCAGGTTAGCCTTGATCATATGATTCTCCCACCTCCATACTTTGAATATTGAGATTATAGCTGTGTGCCACTTCTAATATTAATACAGTAAAATCCATGAAGCTGTATGTCTTATGTATAGCTGCACACCCAGACTATGGAATCCTAACTCTAAAACAACATAGATATTCTCCCAACATTAAACTGTTAAGAGTTCTGGAGAATATTTCCCTTTACCTCCCTGATTCCTTTTCATTATCCTGGTTCTTGAAGTTACAGAGAAGAACAATAGGAGGCAGGTGTTCTAAGGGAGAAATGGATAAAAATAGGGGTATTTAAATGGGAGCGGGGAGGGAGGGTTATACAAGGAACCTGGGGGATAAAGGGAAAGAAGGAGCTCAAGGGAGGTGGGACATAGGAACTGGTATTATCACAGGAGAAATGGGGAAAATGGGGACACTTAAATGGGGGAAAACATGGAGGGCTAGACAGGGAGAAAGAGAGAGAGAGAAGAGAGATAAATAATGCCTAACTAGTTTTAAATAACCAGAAGGAATCAGATTAGTCCAACAACCTAAGGACAAATTACATATACAATATCTCTACATGAATTCAAGTGTACAGCTAAAGGCTACATAGCAAGAAACAGTGCCAAAAAAGAGAAACTTTCCTTTGAGTTATTTGGCTATGGTGGTCCAAAAGATCCCCCAAATTACACAGGCTATTGCCACAGACATTGAGTGCTTCCCAGAACTTGAAGATAAGACCCTATTGCTGAAGATAGAACATACTTCAGACCCAGGATTTGGAGCAATGGAACTGGAACTGACCTGGAAGCCACTTCCCTTGAAGGAAAGCTCTCATAGCTTATAAAAGTGCCAAGGGGAAACATCAATCAATGGTCCAACACCAAATTCAAGACCGAATAACTACATCAATAGCTGGCACAACATATGACATTGGTGCAATAGTGGCTCTTTTATCTTGGAGGCAATCAAAAGCTACCAAGTTGGACTAAAAGACCATTCACTCAATAGGAGGAAACCCAAGTGTGGTACTATAAACATAACCAAAAACACATGGCTGGAGAGGTTATAGATCTTAGAGAAAACCCCAAGACTATCATATCCCTAGATTAGTGTAATTTCTTACTATGTACAAAATACATATCTTTTATTTACAGACAAATATCCCAGTCAACACTCATCAAAGAAGTTTCTTTTGCCCCAGATGAAGACTATTACAGAGTACCACAACTGGTCACACACAGACATTGTCTATGAAGTGCCCAGGGCTAACTGACACATCTACAATGCAACCTCTACACCTACACCTAACAGAACATAGAATAGGGTTAAAGGGGTCACTAATGAATCTCTCAACTCTCTTTAATGAAGCTCCCTCATGCAACAGAGGACCAGGAACACAGAAATTCACAAATGGCCAAAGCATAGGGATTAAGAGTCTGCAGAATGCTAGTTCTTGGACAGAACTCCTATATTAAACTTCACCCACCCAAGGCTCAGGGACCATTGCGGGAGGAAGAGGGTGCAGAAAGATTGTAAGAGCTGGGGAGGAGGTGCACAACCATATGGAAATAGAGTCCTACAAGGTCCTGTGACCCTAGTCATGTGAATCTACAGCAATGCTGTCAGCATACACAAGCCCCATGCAAACTCAAGCAGACAAAAACTCAGCATAAAACTGGGGCTGAGGAAATGGACAGCACACCCCAATCTTAGCTGAAGAAATTATTGGCAACTGGTTACTGCTGGGTGAGAAAGAGCTGATCTTCCTAAAGTAAGGGACTCTAGATAAGCTGACTAGACCTCAGTAGATGAACTTGCACTGAAGAATGTCTGGGAACACTAAACACAATAGGCCTTAACACACATGACATAACGTATGAATTCCAGTGCATGGGGCTTTGGAAGGGTGCCAGTGAGTACAGGGGCATAAAGACTGATTGAGATGTTCTACATGTAACACACAAAAATTCAATAAAAACAAATTTTAAAAATTTCTGGAGGAGCCAAGTTGATGGGTCAGAGCCAGGCAGTATCTTCTAGTTTCTCAGTGGCTTCAAAAAAAAAAAAACAAACAGTGAGAAGCCAGCTTCCCAATAATGTGGATTAGTGGATTAATAAACAGACATGCTGAATTTCACATTGTTAAGACACAGATTTAGATACTCTGGTTCTAAGAACAGAGTCAAAATAACTGAGGCTACTGCAGCCAGGTGACAGAGCAGAGATAAGGGGTAACAGAAAAGGAAAGAGGGAGAGAAACTGGAAAAAAACCAGCACAGGAATAGATGCAGAACAGAAATGCAGCCTGGAGGTAACGGATCTAGGAGCTGCACAGTATGATACCACAGGAGATGTACTCTCTTTCTCAGGGTAAAGCAGGGTACTCCAACCAGGAATTAGCTTG